CAATAATAAGGACACAAAGGCCAAGCAAAACAACACTGGGCTGATATTTCCCTTAATAGCAACCCAAACGAGCAAGCATCCAATGAGTGTAGAAAAAAAAAAATGGTGACAGCAGAGAGCAAGGCAGGGATGTCTGTAGTGAGATAGTTCTGTGGCACTGACCACGCCCATTGGGGGTGGAGCCATGGGCGGAGGGACCTGTGGAAGGAGGTCGGAGGGAGAGCCAGGAAAGGCTCTCTTTATGGTGTGACTCGGACAGGAGAGGATCAGGTTGAATTCCCTGGTGTTCATCTGTCTAGGTTGTAAGTTATTTCTCCCTGAATAAACATCTATTCGGCCTATTTGTTTATCCTGATCCTTATTTAACCGCATTATCTGGTGTCAGAAGTGTTTAGACAGGAATAGGGAATGGTTGGGAAAGGTATGGTTTAGATGGGATATAGGTAGATTAGCCTATTTTCTTGAGAATTTGAGTAAGAATGAGATAGTATTTTACAGCTTACATTGTTATGTATTCTTATGTGGTAAGCTATGTAAAATTAAGTTTATATTTTGTTATATTGTGTTAAATCTTTCCACTTACAATGTTTTATGCACATTATTTTTTACCATATTCTATGTATGTATACTTTTCTTGTATTCAAGACATTTTGTATATTGATACAATTTGGGATATTTATCTTGCTGCCCTTTATAGTTCTACCTCTTGTCTTGACACTTATACTCTATCTCTATTTTAGGGATTTACATGTATGTATATGTAAATAGTTATATTGTTTAAGTATTTGTTCCTGCTTTACTCAGGGAAGTTTTAATCAGTCTTTTTAGCTAAGTTCCTGAGTATTACAGATTATCTTCACTCATATTTCCTGTACCTATGAGATTAGTCAGATATAGATGCTTAATCTTCAATCACTTCATAGACATGCAGAACATGGCATTTAAATGTTTTAATATTAGTACTCCATTGACATGAGACACTGTTGCTCCTGACAGCACCGTGCACTTTCCCGAAAATATGTTGGACACTGTTGTTGCTCCTGCTGGAGTTCAATCTCGCCTCAGCTAATGGCCTGTTGGGCAAAGAATTGCCCCCACCTTGACCACTGATTTGGACATGCAGTCCTATGTGCTTGCAGGAGACAAATATAGAAGACTGCTTGACCTTGCCAAGTCAGGGTAAGACAGCCTTTCTACCTCCCTGCTTTTGTTGTGGTCTCTCAAGTTCTCTTGGCCTTAACCAAAACTGGGTGTACCAACGTTGCTGTGAGACCTTGGGTGACTGTTCAGGTGGCTTGCTGTTTCTGTCCTTGCTGCACCTTTTGGAAGTTGTCCATCCACACTTCCTGTCTAATCTAATATTGTTATTTTCCTTTTCAGGTCTTGATGAGGTTGAAGATTAAACTATCACAACTATTATTCTCTCTTCCTAGTTAGATATATTAGGTACTAGATTTACGTTTTCCAGCTTAGGACAACTCTATTGTAAACTCCATTATGCCTTCACCCTAGGACTAGATATGTAGGTCATTTTGTTCTCGATTTTCCTTTTCTTAGAGCACACTTGTTATTCACTGTTTTGTATATAGTTTTGTATTAAGCCTAAACCTTTTCTTTAGACTAAAAGGGGAATTGTAGTGAGATAGTCCTTCTGTGGCACTGACCACGCCCATTGGGGGTGGAGCCATGGGTGGAAGTGACCTGTGGAAGGAAGTCGGAGGGAGAGACGGAAAAAGCTCTCTTGCTGGCGTGACTCAGACAGGAGAGGATTGGGCAGAATTTCCTGGTGTTCATCTGTCTAGGTTGTAAGTTATTTCTCCCTGAATAAACATCTATTCGGTCTATTTGTTTATCCTGATCCTTATTTAACCGCGATAGAGTCTAAATTCTAGATGGTGTCATCTTGACTTCAAATATTTGATTGCTGATGAGTGAATGATAGCTGCTGAGGGACAATGGATTATAAAAACTACTAAATTAAACCAACCAGTATTTTTTTAAAATGGCTTAACTTCAAAGAAGAAGTAAAAAAATGTCATGATGGGGAAGAGATTATGCCTTTATTACCACAGAAAATGAAAGTTGATAGAGATCACATTTAATGGGGGGGGGAGGCCCCCTGAAAATCCTGGCTACAGACAAAATAAATAAATAAGTCTAGAAAAACTACAAGACAGGTGATGTATATTTTACTTGCTCAAACATAAAACAAAGTATCATCTTTGGCTAGCTATGCACAACAGTGTATAGCTGTGTTAATGCAGATAAGTATGTTACCTTTAACATTCTATATGTTTTCAGAGCAAGGGACGAGACACCAATGAATATGGGGGGCCCAGGTGATTCAGGCTCTCAGAGCACCTCGGTTGCAATTTACTCAGCTCTACATCTTGAACAGCTTCGAGGCTGCTGACTGAGATGGTACAGTCTCACATAGTATTCCAATCAGGACTACAGATAAGCTTTGTGCTTTTCCATTTCACAGAGACTGGACAACAAATGTTATGGCTAGCTCTCCCAGAACTTGACCATTATCCCAGTTTTCTGAGGGTCCTCTAAAGATGCCATCACCCCCCAAACAACGGGAAGCAGTCTAAAGAATAAAATGCTCATATTCCTAAGAGGTGGAATATAGATGTTTGTCACTGTTTAGAGGGGTTAGTCACAAGCTGTTATTTATCATGGTCAGGGAGGAAACTAAGGAAAGAATATTAGATTCTGGGATCTCGTTCTAAAAAGAAAAAGGGGAATATAGAAATGAAAGGATAAAAGAGTAAATTATTGTATCTACTTTCAAACAAAAAAGCAACTACTAGTCTCAAATATCTTACAATGGTATGCATTTTTATATATTGACACAAATTTAAAGTTATTTTGTCATACTATATCATGCTTCCATTTCTTGTTTAAGGTGTTGTACCTATGCATCTTATTTTAAAATGTAAAGTTCTAGTCCTTTAAAGCTATTCAGGATAACAAAAAAATATGTTAATAGTCATCTATAACAATCAAACTTATAGTCATATAGGTATGTTTTCAAGGTCATACAGAGATATATTTTAGGTAAATAGGTGATCTTCAAACACTTCAAAGACTGGCAGAATATGGCAATTTAAAACATTTTAATAACATAAGACATTTCATGACAGTAAAATATGTCTGCTCCTGGTAGCACCAATCTATTCCATAAAAGGATGATGGACATCAAAGGACTTCTATAAGGAGTTGGCTCTCTTTGTAGCAAAAGGTAGCTAATGGACAAGAAACTGCCTTTGCCTAGATTACTGACAGTATGCTGTCCAGACTGGACAAGCAAGATACAAGGGAGTAAGACTGTTGAACTTTGCCAAAAACAAGGCAGGACAGCCCTTCAAAATTCCTGTTTCACAGAAAAGCCTGTCAGATATTCTAGGCCTTCATGCTGATGATGGATACTCCAACATTACAGAGGAACCTTGGGTGACTGTCCAGGCAGCCAGCTGTTTCTGGAAGTTGCTTGCTCTACAATTCCTGTTTACTCAGATAATAAAATATTATATCCTTCTCAGCTCTCAATGGGGTTGAAGACTAGATAGTTATAGTTACAGTTTTCCTTGTTACCAAGAAACAGAATACAATTAGTTGGGAAAGCCAAACTGAGGAATGACAGGATGAGAACAATGGGCCAAGTCAGAGGAGTCACCAGCAGACACAGAGGGAGCAGGAGATGAATGTGCCATGTTGATAAAGGTCCTGCCGCGTGGCAGACCATAAATAAGAAATGTTGGTTAACTTAAAATGTAAAAGCTAGTTAGTAATAAGCCTGAGTTATTGGCCAAGCATTTGAAATTAATATAAGCCTTTATGTTATAATTTGGGAACTGGCAGGCAGGAGAGAAACTTGTTTACAATCTATAATCAAATACTATATAGTGGTTAAAAAAAAATCACTTAACTTTGGCTACACCATCAATACTGAAGATTCCCACTTGGGTTCTTTCTAAATGATGTATTTCCTTAATGCTCATTTTTTTTTTTTTTTTTTTTTTTTTTGCCTTCATAACCAGAAAGAAACTTCTGTTTTGCTATTTCTATTTCATGTTGAGGTACCAAATAAGTTATAGAAATAAGGCTCTGAATCACTGGGAAAGCAACAATTAATGTCTTTTTTCTTTTTAAAATATTCATGTGTATGTTGTGTGTGGATGAATGCTCCACGTGTGTAGTGCCCCCAAAAGCCAGGCTAGGCAACAGATCCTTTGGACCTGGAGTTAGCTACAGGTTGTAGTGAATCTCTAAATAGGAGCTGACCTCATGTCCTCTGGAAAAGTTAGAAGTGTTCTTAAACACCGGGACATCTCTCTAGACCTCCAAGGCTTCATTTTAAGTCATGCCTGGGACATTTAAGAAAATTGATTGGAATCTGGGAGGATGGTTCATTGTGTTTTAAGTATAAACTTGAGAACCCAAGTTTCTTTTGGATTCCTCCACATAAAACAAAACAAAACCCTGGGTGAAGCCACACAAGCCTGTAATCACTACAGTGAAAAATCTGAGATAGGAGAATGGATCTCCATGACTTGCAGGCCAGTCCAGCCAACAATCAATGAACTCCAGGTTCCGCGAGAAGCCTCTCCCTCCCCCTTCCCTCTCTTCTTCCCCCACTCCCCTCCTCCTCTCTCCCCTTACAAACCCACAAGAGCTGACAACTCAGATTTTCCAGGGACACCCTCCTTCCCTCAACTTTTGTCTGTGCTTGGTAAGAAGCACAACTAAATCCCCTGGGATCCGTCCATCTCTGATGGCCAATTCCTCCCTCGCCCACTCAGGTTCCACGTTCGTCCCTCTCTGTCCAAGGCCTCCACCCCGGTCCCCACGATCCGGCCAAGCAAACTTCACAGACAGACACACACAGCCTCAGGAGACCTACAGCTCCGACTCCCACCTCCACCTCGGTGCGCTCGCTCGGCTCTGACGTCACGCCAGGCGCCGGAAGTGCCCGGAATGCTGAGATGGGAATGTTGAGATGTCATCTTGCTGCGCAAAACGAGCGGTTGTTGACAGGCCGCGGAGGCGGCTGGGGGAGCTGTGGTGTTGTCTATCATGCCTGACCGGACGAGCTGTCCTGGGCCGAGGCCGCTGGGCTGGGGATGAAAGAAGCAGATCAGATGCAGAGTGTGGAGGGCTCGGAGGCCGGGCGGTCAGTCGGCACGCAGACCGGCAGCATGACGGGTGAGTGCGGGGTCCTGCTCCCGTCGCCTTCGCTCCCGCCCTGCCTCTTGCCCTTGCCTGGCACCCCGCCTGCCCTTGGTGTCCTGCAGCTCCGCGTCCTACCCACACCGTCCCCGCCCTGCTTGCCTTGTGCTTCCATCCTCTCGTCGCCCTACTTGTACTGTGTCTCCGTCCCGCCCTGCTAGCCTAGTGTTTCCCTCCTTCCCCGCTCCCTGCCCTCCCGGTCTCTCTCAGCGACGCTGCTCCTGGTCTCATGCCAGGCGCCTGTGGCGGTACTGCCCAGGCTTCACGGGTCGCGCACGCACGCGCCGTGCCCTGCCCTCCTGGTTGCAGGACCTAGACTCAGTATCCCCAGGCTGAAGAGTCTGAAATTGCGCCTTTGCTTTGATTTCCAAATTCACCGCATGTGATGCTTTCCTCGCGTTTCGACTTACGGTTGAAAACCAGGCGTGTTCTAACCGTTTCCTTTTGAAGTAATACCTTGTTACAGCGCAAACAAAACAAAATAACAAAAACCTTGCTCTACGACAACGTCAGAGGCGAAGACTTGCCCCTTTTTATTTATTTTTGGAGCTTCTGTGTCGGTTGTATTATTTTGCCCATGGGGTGACCTGGAGGAAAAAGGGACTCAACTTTGGAAAGAACTACCCAAGGTCACTGAAAATGAGCCACTTTTGCTAATGAAGCTATGATTCCCTTACCTGCCAATCCATTTGCATCTCACAAGTAGATTTGAGCTTAACTCCCTTGCCATTGCTAGTGAAATTCTGAAGTACTTGCCCTCTCTTTCATAGGTCAAATACCAAGGCTTTCTAAAGTCAACCTTTTCACTCTGCTCAGCCTCTGGATGGAGCTCTTCCCAGGAGTAGATGCCCAAGGGCAAAAGTCTCAGGTATGACTTGTCTCTATAGATAGTTTTTACCGCTGGAAAAGCAGAAGTCTATGTTTGATTTCATTGCCCACCTATAGTCCTCACAGTTAAATCCAACAGGCCTTCGGACTTGAGAAATAGCTTCATGGCGTTACTTGTAACTCATAGCATAATAGCTCATCTTTCCGGTCTGGAGAGTTAGTCTTGATTATCGGGGATTAAAATGTACAAAAAGTCAGTTTTGTTAGTAATTAGATACTAAAATTGAAAATCCTTTTAGCTTTATTAGCCACATATGATCTCATTATAATTCTGTTTACACACACATAAATTGAGTCCTTTATTGATGCACAACTTTTTTTTCTTAATATAGTGAAATGTAATGTGTAAGTTTCTATTATGAAACTTCCTCATTCATATAGAGAAAATTGAGATAAGGCTATTATCATTCTGATTAAAATGCCTCCAAGTAAGTTTCAAGGTTGTAAAACTTCATTAGAAACAAGGGTTGATCCAACTTCCTGCTATCTTAGGTATAGTCTGAGTCTGTACCCGAGCAAAGTGAGACGTCAAGTCAGAGCTTCATAGGGGTTTGGAAAATGATCCAGAGGAAACCAGTCCTTAAATGCTGAAATGTATTTATCATATTGATTATACATTACACATATAATTCATCATATTAATCATTTTCCCTCTTAAACTGATTTTAATCAGAAAAACGAAGAAGAAAGCCGTGGCCCCTTAGGAGATAACGAAGAATTGGCCAGAGTATCTACTGACAAAAAACAGGTGAATTGTTGTGATTTTTAAAAAGCTGTAAAGCTCGTAATAATGAAGCAAAGGAGTAGATAAAGCCCTGTGCAAGACCTCCCATGCGCAGGGAAGTTTCTCAGATTCTCCGTGAAGGCCTCTGTGTACTGACAAGCCTACATGTCTTTCCTGTTTGAAAAACTCATAGGTTCTCTCTGTAATGTTCTCCTGCTTGTTTTTAATTCTCAGACGTCATTTCTAACCCTGCTTCACGCAGATGTGTTGAGCAGTGCCCTGCAGGTTCCCCCACATATGTGTGTATCTTGGTTATTATAGTGAGAATTCAAAGCCTAACTGGTCTTTATCTTGGTCATCTCCCAAGAATTAAGGGTTGAGGTAATAGCTCCCTCTAGGACAGACTACAGATTGGTTCACTGTTTTCCTTCAAACACCAGGATCCCAGCCTTGATGGTCTTCTCCTAATAGCGTAGCCGATGTGGGTCCAAGCAACCATGTGATCTCAGCTGCATTACTCCCTGGGGACTGGAGGATGTGGACCACCACAAATGTGCTTCCCACTCTTCGGAGTCCTTTTTCCCTGACCCAGGAGTTCAGGCAGTCAGACTGAAAGACAAATCTGTCCTCCATGATTCTACCTGGTATTCCTTGTTACTCTTGCCTTTAGCTTCCAAATGTTGTTCATAGTATGCAGAGAATATGCACATGTATTTTGAAAAAAGTTTTATTCTGATGTCTGTCTGTATAAGCTTCCTGATTATTTCTGGGAGTGAGAAATAATTTAGAAATAATTTGCCTCAGAATGCTTAGATGTTTTCAGTATAAGAGAAGCACAAAGGGGAAAAAATATCGAATCACCTTAGTAAATATACTGCCTGAGTCATGTGCAAAAGGTGGTCCTGTTCTACCATCTTTTAATGTAAGCCTCTAAAGTCTTATAGAAACTTGCCAAGATGTGCATGAAGTGAAACATACCAGGGCTCAGAAGAGCGGTGCCCAGAAATCCAGTGTGCTGGGGCTGCAGTAACTAGAAGTCCCAGGCTGAACACAATTTGGGCTTCCCGTTTGGGATGGAAACTTCCATCTCAAACTAGATATTTTGGCCTTAACTAGAAGCAAAATTAGCAGTTTCTCTTGTAGCCCTGGATGTCCTGGAACTCACTCTGTAGACCAGGCTGGCCTCAAACTCAGAGATCTACCTGCCTCTGCCTCCATGTGCTGGGGTTAAAGGCATGTCCATGCCCAGCTATTTTTATTTTAAAAGGACTCAAAACATGATAAGCTTACAGTTAAATAGTCCTAGCCTGGCTGGTGGGAGAAACCAGTCGGCTGACTCAGCTTATGCCTCTATTAGGTTAAAATGAACTCATCTTTCACTGTAACAAAGTAATAGTCACATGTGTAACTGATTAATTAATAGTGCCTTAGTTTTGAAAGTTTCCCATCTAAAGTCAATAAGAAGCTCTCAGGAATTATTTGTGGACCTAATTAGTAATCTATTTTCATGCAGACTGTTTTTTAAGTAAGAACTAAGCATAGCTTTCATCTTATTAGAAAATCAAATATTACCCATGAAAGGGTAGTGAGTGTCATAATTAATGGTTTATTATTTTATTTCTTAATTAGGTGAAGAAAACTGGTCTTGTGGTGGTGAAAAACATGAAAATTATTGGTCTTCACTGTTCTAGTGAAGACTTACACACTGGGCAAATTGCTCTTATCAAGCATGGGTCCAGGCTGAAAAACTGTGATCTTTATTTTTCAAGGAAACCGTGTTCTGCTTGTTTGAAAATGATTGTGAATGGTGAGTACAGATAGGTGGTGCTGGGAGTTGAGCTCATTTATCTGAGAGCAGACATGAGGGAACACATCGCCTAAATACACAGATAATGTGGGAATAGAAATGCATGTTTGAGCACTGTTTACACATTGTAAGGGGATAAGTCTGAAAGCATGGATTCTGAGCTCAGCTTTGCCTACTGATCTGCTGCTGAATGACCCTTGATAAATTACAAGCTGAGTAGTTTACAAAGGAACCCCAGAATTTCAGCGGCTGAAGACAACTACAGTTGTCAGGCCCAGCAGACAGTTTTGTTGACATGGTTGGTTTGTGGGGTTAGGCATCATTCTTCTCCCTGCTTTCGGCATCCTGGGGCCTCACTTGAGTCCTCTGCATCCAGAAAAGGCATGTCTGCTTCTTAAAGGTCCTGCCTGGAGGAGACCAGCTGGGGACTGTAGCTTTGGGGGAGTGCTTCCCTAGCATGGGGAGGCCCTGGTTTTTCCCAGGACCACAGAACAAAAACTGATCTGAAAGCCACGTACAATCTTTCTGTTCATTTCGTTGTGGGAGTTGTAGGCTCTGGCTGGGCAGCTGTCTCTCTATCCTAGTTTCTTTTTTGTTGCTCTGGTAAACACCATGAGCAAAACCAAACTTGAGAAGGAAAGGGTTTATTTGGCTTTCAAAGTTGTTCATTCATTAAGGGAAGTCAGGCAGGAACTCAGTTCAGGAACTGCTTATTGGCTTGTTCTCTGTGGCTTGCTCTGCCTGCTTTCCTGTACAACTCAGGCCTGGGGATGGCACCACCACACACCAGTTATTAATAAGAAATGCCCCACAAACCTGCCCACAGGACAATCAGATGGAGGCAGTTCCTCAATATCTCGAGATTCCTTTTTCCCAAATATGTATAAGTTTGTGTATAATTGACAAAAACTAGCCAGCACACCCTCAAAGATTACTATAAACCTTGAAAGGGTCACACAAAATTTTAATGTGTAGATACCTAACTGCTTCTGATTCTATTTTATAGGTAGGTAAATATGCAGATGATTGTTATAATTTTAAAGAATATATCTTACATATAGGTACCTGGTAGCTCTAGAAGAATGAAGACAACAAATGTGACTTCCAGCCCTTTCCCTCAGGAGTTATTTGATGTCAAATAAGTGACATAGGCTATAAATGACACATAAGCTCATAGTCTGGAAGCTGTGTTGTGAAGGGTGCGGCACAAGCTGACTCTTCATGGGTGTATTAGTTACTTTTCCATTTCTATGATAAAGTACTATGACCAAAAGCAACTTATGGACAAGTTTATTTGGGCTTGTGGTTCCAGAGCCTTAGAGTCCATAAATGGCGGGGGAGGCGTGACAACAGGAAGTTGAGAGAGAATAGGAAGTGTGGTAAGTTTACAAACTGCCCAAGCCTCCCCCAGTGAGTTAGATCCTCCATAGGCTGTACCCCCTAAAGGTTCTATAGCCTCCCCAGACAGTGTCACCAACCAGGTGCAGGCTTCAAATATGCAAGCCCAAAGGAGACATTTCCCATTAGAACCACTACAGTGGGTTGGGTGTAGAACAGAGGTCCTCATGTTGCTAGCCAAGATAGCAACATGAATAATAATGGAGGCATAAAGCAAGGTTGGGCATTTGAATTGGAAAGGTATTCTTGTGGAGTAGTGTTGGCTGGATTGTGGTGATCTGTCAGGGCTTCTATGGAGAGTTTCAGAAGACTGGTAGTCTTTTGGTGAAAATAGAAATATTGTAGAACAGAACACATAAAAAATAAGAAAAGCCATCTGTTTCATTAGCCTTCGGCCAAATGTACCTCATGTTAGTGTTCTACGTGAATCAGAGCTGAAGTAATTGTTACCAATATATAAGTATATAAAGTAATTGCTACGAATCAGAGTATGGGGGTTGTTTTAAGGACCACCTAAGTGACTGAGTTCAATGTGAACTGACCTGCTTTCTGAATGTGTCTTAGGTTTTCTACTGCTGTTCAGTGGTTGTGAGTACTTCCTCTTCTTGTGGGCTCCAAGTTTGGGTTCCCAACAGCCAGGTCAGGTGGCACACAGCTGCCTGTACCTCTAGCTCCAGGGAATCCACACCCTCTTCTGACCTCCATGGGCTAGAACTCAATCAGACTCACAAAATAAATCTTATTGCACATGCACATGAATAAGCAAAACCTTTTAAATCTTGTTGAGCTGAAATCACGCAAGGTACAGCAGAAATTTTTCTTTTGTAAACTATTCATGATTAACAGACATTTGATGCTTGCATAACAATTTTATTCACCTTACTTTTTCATGTTTGCTAGCTAGTTATGTTTCTTTTACAAGTTGTCTATACATAGCTTTTGTTTCTCTTAAGGTCTTATTTTTCTTGTCAGTATGTACTTTTATTTAATGAGCTAATTATGTTTCTGTAACTTTCTTTTGTCATTGAGTGAAAAATGTTCAAGTTGTTTTCTCTTTGACTTATAGGCTTTTAAAAGATGGGTGATGCCCTTCTCATCACTCTATCTTCATCTACAAATATTTTTCTGTTAAAAATTCTTTATGGTCAACAAGTACAGAGTGGGTAAAAACTACCATCATGAAACTCGTTGCTTGGAATGCTAATTTAAAACTAGTTAACAAAACCAAGGTTAAAGAAAATGAAAGCAACACTTTTTAAAATAGAAACTTCTTGATGGACATGCATGATAACTACAAAAGGTCCCATCATGTGTTCCCTGTCTTGCTTGTCTGGATGAAGAGTCACAATATTTAGTCCCCTATCTTGATTGTCTGCAGTTTTAGTTCAAAGAATGCTGCACTAAAATATGAACATTCTCCCTCTCTCTTTAGAATATGACTTTTCAGAAGAATTCTGAATCCAAAACAGGAACATTTTTAGTTCATAAATATACTATTTATAATTAGATACAAACCTCTGAGCTTTACCAAGTATTGGCTGTAACATTTCCAGAGGCAACCATGATGACATGGAAAACCTTGGTGTGTAACACTCAGGCTGAGCTTGCAGCCACACTTAGCAAAGCTGGGAGCTCTACAAATGCCACTTGGGCTTTGTTAAGGGTTGGTGGACAATCTCCTGAAACAGCCAGAGAACAAATACTGTAGGTTTTATAGGTAGTGTATAGTTTCTACTGTGCTAGTCAGCTCTGACATGACAGCCACGGGTACTCGGTACATACGTAAATGAATGGGTGTGTCTTTGAATAAATATAAACACTGAAATGTTTGTTTGTTTTGTTTTTTCAAGACAGGGTTTCTCTGTGTAACAGTCCTGGATGTCCTAGAACTCATGCTGAGACCAGGCTGGCCTGGAACTCAGAGATCCACCTGCCTCTGCCTCTGCTGGGATTAAAGGTGTGCACACCACAGCCCAGCTGAACACTGAAATTTTAATTTCTAATGATATCATGTGATATAGAATATTCTTTTGTAAAGCTCATATTTAACCTATTATCTGAAAAAAGACTAGCCATAGACCCATTTTGGACTGTGGGTATTTGTTTGCTAACCCTCACATTGTGTTAAGTGACAGTGTAGATGTTTGTTTGGTTTGTTTTGGATTTAGATGGAAAACCTCTATTCAGCTCATATCAAAACAATGACATTTTATATTTTTATATTTTAGCTGGAGTTAACCGAATTTCTTACTGGCCTTCTGACCCAGAAATAAGTTTGCTCACCGAGGCTTCTAGTTCTGAAGATGCAAAGCTAGATGCCAAAGCAGCAGAACGATTGAAGTCAAACAGCCGGGCCCACGTGTGTGTCTTACTCCAGCCACTGGTGTGTTATATGGTACAGTTCGTAGAGGAAACCTCTTACAAATGTGACTTTATCCAAAAAACTGCAAAAGCACTGTCGGGTGCTGACACTGACTTTTATTCTGAGTGTAAACAAGAAAGAATAAAAGAGTATGAAATGTTATTTTTGGTTTCAAATGAAGAAATGCATAAGCAGATACTGATGACTATAGGTCTGGAGAACCTGTGTGAAAACCCCTATTTTAGCGATCTAAGGCAAAACATGAAAGACCTGATTCTACTTTTGGCCACAGTAGCTTCCAGTGTGCCCAACTTGAAACACTTCGGATTCTACTGTAGCAATCCAGAACAGATTAATGAAATTCACAATCAAAGTTTGCCACAGGAAGTTGCAAGGCACTGCATGGTGCAGGCCAGGTTATTGGCATATCGAACTGGTGAGTTCAATGCTTAGTTCATAAACGAGGGCTGAGTGGTTGGGTTACCAGTGACACCCATGTCGTCTGTGGTGGAGTTCCTTGACTCTTAGACATTGAAGTATTGATGTTCCAACATTGTAAAGAGGTTGTCTAGACCCTTGGGTATTCTGTGGTCTTACATTCAGCACTATATTTACAAACCAGGACCAGGAGACCTAAGTCCTGCTTGCTTCTTACATGTATGATCCCGCTATTCACAAGTCTCTCAGTAAAGATGGCACAGAAAGAAAACTACAACTCTCATTTTGTTGTTATTCATACTCCTTTTAATTTAAATCAGAAACAATCTTTTTTTATATAGCAATCCCAGTTCCTTCTCCCTCTTTCCTTTTTGTTTAGGAATTTTTTGGAAGTGTAGTAATGTTTTGACTGCATGTATATTTGTGCACCACATTGTGCCTGGTGCCCTCAGAGCCCAGAAGAGGGTGCTTGATCCTATGGAACTGGAGTCATGGACAGTTAGTTGTGAGCCGTCTTGTGGGTGCTGGAAATTGAACTCAGGTCCTCTGTAAAAAAAGTAGCAAGTGCTTTTACCTGCTGAGCCATCTCTCCAGCCCATGTATTCTATTTGTATAAAAAGTTAGAATTCTGGGATTTTAAAGCACAAATTTAAAAGGAAAAAAAATCAAGTTAAAAGAATGCTGTTAAAAAGTTTTCTGGTTGTATGTTTCTGTCAGCAAGTTAAGCAGTCTTTACTCTGTTGTACATGTATAAAATGTAGCATCTGAACATTATTTTCATATCTCACCTAATATAAAGTTTTTCAGTGTAGAATTACCACTTTTTAAAATTCAACTTTGAAGTAAGCAGGGAAAACCCGAATAGGAAAAACGGTAAAGTAAGACTTATTTGGGACATATGCTATCGCAGGACTTATTTATTTGTTCATTTATTTATTTATTAGATAGGGTCCTATGCAGTCCAAGCTCCCTATGTAGCTGAGGATGACCTTGAACTTCTGACCCTCCTACCTCCACCTCTCACGTGTTGGAATTACAAGCATGTACCTCCTGGACCTGATTTGTGCAGTGCTGAAGATGAAAGAACCTAGGGCCTCATGCACGCTAGGCAAGCACCAACTGAGCTACATCCCTTGTCCAGAAACTTTTAATTATCCCAAGAAAAGAGGAGAAGAGAAGGAAAATCAGAAAGGCCTGTACAGATGGCACTGGTCTTTAAAAGACCACAGGTCGAGTAAGCGGAATGGAGGATCTCAACCAACAATGTACAGAATCTCCATGGAAACCTTAAAAGGTACAGATGTTCAAACCCACCCAGACCTACTCAACTGGGTACAGCCTGTGTCTTTAGAAGTTCTGCAAGGTGTTCTGATATTCAGCAGGGTTGATAATCAAAGTCTGATTTGTATTGTAGAGTTTATATACTCTACTATAAATTATATTTTGAATTATACATGTGTTCACTTACTATTCAGTTTTATGTATAAATCCATGCTGGTACATTTGATTTAAAAGGTTTTTCGAGGAAAAGTTTTTGACAGTGGATCTTTTTGCAGGGGAAGGTTCTGGACCTCAACTCTAGTTAAGATGAAACTTGACTGTCACTCACCCATGTGAGCTCTTCAAGGGAGAACTGGCATAATTACCATTTTCCCTGCAAACTAAAGAGTGTTTATTAAATGGGGGAATCTTTTCATATTCAGGGGCTGGGGAAGTAGCTCAGCAGGTAAAGCACTTGCTGTGCAAGCATGCACGCCTGAGTTTGATTCCCAGCACACACCTAAAAGGCAGGCTGTGGTATAAGTATATAATCCCAGGAGTGATGCTAAAACAAGGTTGTGTGGGCCCATTGGCCAGATAGTGCAGCCAATCAGTAAGTTCCAGTGAGAACTTACTCCTAAATAAGTTAAAAAAAAAGTGTTGTACAACACCCAATGTCAGCGTGTTGCCTCCACAGGCGCACACTTCATACACACATACATATACACCGAGTTCATAATTATTAAAGCCCTTGGGGCAAGTGTAAAGGAATTTAGAATTCAGGGATGATAGGAGTATAAGATGGCAAGCCAGGCTTTGGTGCCGTACACCTTTAGCCCCAGCCCTGGGGAGGCAGAGGCAGGCAGATCTCTGTGAGTTTGAGACCAGCCTGGTCAACAGAGTGAGTGCCAGGACAGGCTCCAAAACAATACAGAGAAACCGTCTTGAAAAACCAAAAAACAAACAAACAAAAAAGAGTATAAGGTGGTACATATTTCAGCAGGTACTACCCATTCTGGCTGGGCAGTGCTCTGTAGACATGGTGTTGAAGATAAAAGTAGGCAGGAGTAACCCCCCAAAAAAGCAGTTCTAATTTGCTCTGTGAGTCAGTGGCATCAGAAGGCAGCTGTGGACAGTGCAAGTCCCTGGCTCTGGCTGCTTTCTTCTGATTGAACAGGAATCTTCACCAGAAACAGGAGTCAGCCTTTTTATCAGACACTCAGTAATTTTGATAAGTGTTCTGTGAAGCACATTTAGATCAAGACCAATGTTAGCATAGAACTTTAACAAAAACTGACATGCCCAGGGTCCAGCTATCTGGCTTGGAGCATCAAGGACCTTTGCCAAGCCTGACAGCTTGAGTTGCAGCCCAAGTTCCACATGCTATGGAAGAAGAGAACTCCTACAAGTTGTCCTCTGACTCCTACAAGTGCACTGTGATAAACACAAGTAAAATGTTAAAAATTAAAGAAGAAATAGATGTGCCTGTAGGCATGAACAATAGATTATAGAATTCTCAGGCTACAGGCATCAACAAGCCTCAGGGAACTGTTCTATGATCATAAATTGGCCTTTCCTTCAAAACTGCAGAATAAAGCCCCTAAAGAAAAATCAGATTATCAGGGATAATTTTATTATAGATATGGTACATACATTTAATCCCAGCACTCAGGAAGCTGAGGCAGGAAGACTGCAAGTTCAAGGCCAGCCTGAGTTACCCAGCAAGATCCATCTCAAAACTGAAAACCCAAGGTCACCTCTGTCAAAAAGAGGTGGTGAAGGTTCTTGCACGTTAGCCCTTGCAAAGAAGCAGAAGTGCTGCCGATGGAGGGGGCAGCTCCCAAGTCCAAAGTCCTAGTGTAAGAAAGGTATTGGTGCAGGAGAGTTTCTGTTTGGTTTGCTTTTTATTTATGCATGTATTAAGTACAGCTTTGCTTAGGTTTTGATTTTGAGGGTAATTATAACTTTTTGGTTATAATTTCCACCACTGCTTTAGAAATGAACATAAAGCATTAACTTATATTATTCCCCTGAATTAAACTATAAAGGTCTAAGAAAGAAGGGAATTTTGATACCTAATCATCACCATATACTCCCTAGTGTCATAGTTAACTCTTCTTAGCACAACTTCCTCATCCCTGCCATGCCCCATTCAGCCGTTAGCTGATTGAGGACAGGCTTGCCATTCCCTTCATGACTCAACAGTCATGCAGCACTCAAAAAATAAAAATCATTTTTAAGAAGTTCTTAATGTTAGAAAGAGATGGTCAAAAGGCAGCTAGGTTGGCTTAGGAGAACTCAATTTTAATGAATTCCATATAAAACTACTGGTTGGTAAAAATGAGATCATGTATAAAAGAATGCTTACTAGAAAATACATATTTTGTACTATAACTTTGAAAACCTAATTGTGCTTCTATTGGAAATAAGAAATTTTATTGCATAATTATGATTTTATTATGTTAACTTTAAGGCATCCATCCCTAATGTTTAATACAACAGTGGCAGAACTTCTCTCTATTGTCTATAATGGAAAAGTAGATATTTAAATGCACTTTGATGGGAGAACGTACCTTGAAGGAACTTGCAGGGGGATACAGTTGTTATACTCAACCCTCAGCAATATAAATGGCCTTGGGTAAAGTCAGTTTTCCATGATTAGAGTGTTTAAAAAGTTAGAAAAGGACAATTTTGATTTTATTCCACTAAATCCATTCTTTCAGAAACTTTCTATTCATTCAGCTTCTTCATATGTTAGAAGTGGCCATTTAGATCCTGACTTATTAGGCCAGAGTCAGTGATGCTAGTCTGTTCCCGCTACAGCTTGGGTTGAATGTGCCACTGCCTCTTGAGAGGTTGTCACAGGGACACTGTGTGTGAGGGTCAATGGTAGCCCTGCCTTGTCTCATTAGTTGGTACCTCATTCCCATATTCTATACCTAGAAGAATTTATCTCAAGAATTTTGTGTGGGTAGGTATGATGTATGCTGCAGTAAATGTGTTTTTATGATTTGGAAAGAATGGACTCATGAAACTGACAGCATTGATTTTTACTGAGATAAACATCCTATCTTTCAGAGGATCATAAAACTGGAGTTGGAGCTGTCATTTGGGCAGAAGGGAAATCTGTAAGTATGAAAAGAATTATTTAAATATTTAACCTGGGTTGTGTGTAGTCAGTCTTCAAGGTGCTGCATTTTGATGTTTGAGACAGGGCCTCCTTTTGTTGCCCAGACTGGCCTCAAACTCCTGAGCTCAGTCCATCGTTCCTTCTACCATCTGAGTGATAACAGCCACAGCTCATGCTTTCTAACCTGCTGAGAATTGGATTGTATTGGCTGGTTGACATTAATGTTTTTGTGTTAATGAAATTATATAAATGTCTGCGCATCCCCCAACAGTTTTCAGGGTTCATCCATTTAGTTCTGTGAGTTGAATACTGTCACAGTGAGCCCTAGGCAATAAATATTTTTAATTACTTTTTTTTTTTTTTTTTTAAGAAAAGAAGGGGTTTATTTCAGCTTAACTTTCAGGTTACATCCCATCATTGAGGGAAGTCAGGGCAAGAACTCCAGGTAAGATGAGTAGACACCCTGGAGGAATGGCACTTACTCCTAGCTTTCTATCTCATGCTCATCTAGCTTATATAGTCCAGTATCGCCTGCCTAAGGATGCATTGTCCTCAGTGGGCTGTATTCTCCTTCATCAATTAGCAGTCAAGGAAGTGTCCCCCTGACATGCCCATGGACCAGTCTAAGAGGCAGTTCTTCAGTTGAGGGTCTCATTCCAGGTTTTGCCAAGTTGACTATAAAATCTAACCAGTACACCAGGCTTCTCTTTAATAACACTAAACTTTTCACCTGGCATTGATGCTTTGTCATCTGCACTCTCTTACCTAAAACTTTAAACTTTCTCACTTTCCCAAGTTTCATGTTCTCCCTTCTCCACTCTTTGCTCTCTCTCACTGCTTGAGAGCAGTGAGCAGTAACCATTCCACAGCTCAAATGCCGTCCTGTCTTGAAATAACCTCCACCAAACAAATTACGTATAATGTCTGTAAATTTAGCATCAACCAAGTTCTCAAGGTGTGGGAAGAAAACAGTCAGACTCTTTTTCTATGATGTCACAATATCAGCACATAGCCCAGCTCCTGGAAATGTTAGAGTCAGCCCTCCGCTACTTGTTGGTTTTGGTTTTTATCACTTTTGTTTTTTCAAAGTACTTTTGTCTTCCAAGTTTCCACCACAATAGTCTATTATGCTCTACTTATGGTAGTCCAGGAGTTTTCTAGCCTACAAACTTTCCCACATTCCACCAACAGACTGACTTTAAAGCCTAAGAATCACATAGTTGGCTTTGTTACAGCAATGGGCCCAATTCTCAGTTCCAGTTTTCTAGATTACACTTCTCTTTAGGAGGGGACATATATGTCACAGCACAGACATAGATATCAGGAAAAAAAACTTTTGATTTGATTCTACCACATGGGTCCCAGGTGCTTTGCTGGCTGAGCCATCTCACCAGCCCAACAATGGGGATTTAAATACCACATTCTCCTTTCATGGCCTTGTAGGGAGTGATGGAGACAAAGAGGTTGAAAAGACTATCATGTGAGTGTAATTGTGACTGATATTGCTAGCTCATGGAGGAGGACTTGTGCTCTGCCTGAAGAAATGCTGGAGATACTCCTGCAGTGTAGGAATGCAGTTAGTCTTGAAGAATGAGTGAGAGGTCAGCAGAGAAAGTCAGGCAGATCAGGAAGAAAATGTACACAGGCAGGCATAGGAGAGAGATGATGTAAAATAGATGTGAGTTGGCACAGTGGCTGCCAAAATCCCACGTAAAGTGAGCATAGCATTATACTGGACCATGGAGGACACTATAGACCTGTGAAGAATGTGGGCTTTATACTTTAGGCAATGTTCATGCTCCCATAACACTAACCAGTAAAACATAAAGCCACCATCTAAGTAGGAGTTTTGTTTAAAAAGTAAACTAGGTAAATGATAAAGAAAAGAATTAAAATCAACCTCAGTGTCCATCAGCCAATTAATAGATAAACAAATGTACACATGCACAATGGGTGCTGTTCACCTATGGAAAGAATGAATCCTGTCATCTGCAACAGTATAGATGGACCTAGACATCGTTATAGTAAGTGAAATATGGCAGGCACACACACACAAAAAGCTTGATCTCACTCTGTTTGTGTGTGTATGTGTGTGTGTGATGTAAATGGCTAGTAGAAGTTGAGAGCCCAGTGATGGTTATCAGGGACTGGGAGAAGTAGGAGGGTGGGGTGTGTAAGGTAGATTGTGAAGACTAAATTACTGTTAGGAGTAAGGAGTGCCAAGTACTGGCGGTCATTACATGGCAGGTTGACTAGTTGATAATCATGTACTATTGTATATTTCAAGAAGAAACAAGTTTGAATGCTGCTATCATAAACAGTGGGTAATTAATAGATAGATAGGTTTAATTTGACTTAAGCATCACTTGTACCCCATAGATAGTTGTATATTTTCATGAATCAGTTAAAAATAAGTAAAACATAATATACATACTTAGTCACAAATATCAAAACATTCAACATATAAACAGTATAAAATTATCAGTGAAATAGTCTGCATTTTTATATCATTACTCAAACTTCTGTGTATATTTTGTATTTGCAACATTTAGTTTAGACTAACTATGTTTGCCTGGTAGCTATTGTATAAGACAGTACAGTCCAATAATATTCTAAATGAGAAATGAAAATGATTTGTGTTGTGAAAGGAAGTACTTGGACAAGAGGTAAATAGAGATTAAGTAAACAAAAAAGGATGATGAGAATTCAGAGTTATGAGCTAGGAGGAACCATAATTAAGAAGCGTTTAATAACTACCACCCTACTTGTAATTCCTACTAGAATAGGTTCTCTGCCAAAAGTTCTCATAGCATTCGATGTGATTCCTACATGACACACCTCCCCAGTTAAAGTTGTGGCCAGTCCCTAACCTGTTCCAGGTAAGGCTCATGCAGGCAGCTATTTGGGCTGCAACTCTGTTAGAGCACTGTATACCTGGCCTGTGGCTAGAGCTCTGGTTGATGTTTAAGCGGATGCTCAGCAAGACACTCAGCATGGCATCTTGATCTGCACTGCCTTGTGGAGAATTATATCCATTTACCTCTAGTATAGAAAGGTATGTGAGGTTCAATTCAGCCATGTTACTAACTCTGTGACTGTGAATAATTAATCTTTCTTGACCTCAGTTTTCTTACAAGTGAAATAGGGACAATGGTATTACTCTGTAGGTAGTTTCCAAGTTAATCAGTGGAGGCAGTGCCGGGAGTATTGTTCAGTTGTGCTGAGCCAGAGTGCTGGCTCTGCATTTTTGAGGCCCCAAGTTTGTTTTGAGTACTTGCATGCATATGTGTGCACACACACAAGTTAAAAAAAGAAATGAGATCTGCATGATGTTTGGCATTCGGTAAATAGAACGAACTTATTGATGAAATATTTGACAGTTTTTGTTGGCCCAGATAACAATCATTCTTACTATACTTGACAAGGATGTATCTACTACTTTCTATCACATCTACAGTGATTCCTACCACTTGCATACTTAGTGAGATCTATAGCATATTCTAAATTATTATAGACACTGTCAGTTTGAGCAGTCATCATCCCAGTAATTGATAAAGTATTGATATTAACACTAGCATACTCTTGATGAAGAGAAATAAGAAAGGGGTACCAGGTGAGTTCTGTGATTATATGTTCATATGATAGACACTCAGAAACATGGTTAAAGGAAAGTTCATTTTTCATTTCCAACTAAATCACAATAGCACATTATAGCCCAACAACATAAATTGTTCAAAAATATTTTTATGTTACTTATAAACACCTCTGTGTGCATAGCAGTCTAATGTGTGCCAAAGTGGGGGGGGGGTCAAAGTATAAAACATGGCTTCTGATCCTTAGCATTTATAGTTTGCTTGGAGAGAACTGTCTGAATCAAGTAAAATGATTCATTAGTTAAAGACAATGTTATTAACTGCTAATATCAAAGACAACCTTGAGATCACCTCTGAGGATGGTGGACATATTTCTATTTCAATTTTTAAATTTCGTTTATTTGTGGTAGGGAATGTATATGCATCAAGATGCATGACTGACCATTTTCTCCTTTCACCACGTTGATTCCAGGGAATGAACTCTGCTCACCAGGCTTGGTAGCACATTCCTTGACCAGCTCAGCCAGTTCTCCAGCTCAGATCTTGTGTTTCCCAGGGGCTCCATTTGTTACAGGAATGTAGTGTACTTTCTTTACATGAAGTATGAAGGCAAAATGCCTTTCAGAATGCTGACACTCATACGGTGCTTCTGCCGACCTTTGCAGAGAAGCTGTGATGGAACTGGAGCTATGTACTTCGTAGGATGTGGTTACAATGCCTTTCCTGTTGGCTCTGAGTATGCTGACTTCCCCCACATGGATGACAAACATAAGGACAGAGAAATACGGAAATTCAGATACATCATACATGCCGAGCAGAATGCTTTGACATTTAGGTATGAGACATTTTTAGCCTTCTTTCCTTTAAAATATAGCAGAGATTGATTGGTTGGTTGGTTGGTTGGTTGGTTGGTTGGTTGGTTGGTTGGTTGGTTGGACGGACTAGTTTTCTTTTGTTGTCATTTGTCTTTCTACTAAAACTCTTAAGAGGTATGTTCAGAAATAGAATTTTGATAAAGCTTGGTCCTGCTCCTGCACTGGATGCTATGGTCACAGATTTCCCAGCTCTTTCCATTTCTTCGAAAATTCTTTCTTGCTAGTCTCTCTAGTATAAAACTATTGGAAGTTTGTCCTTAGGAGCTTTCCCAGCTGTTTCTTTTTGGATGTTAGCATCCCCCTTTGCTTTCTAAATTTAGAGCACATCTGTTACATTTATGAAATACTGGCTTGGTTAGGGTTACTATTGCTGTGATGACACACCATAACCAAATCAAGCCGGGGAGGAAAGGGTTTATTTGGCTTATACTTCTACATTGTAATCTATCACTGAAAGAAGTCAGGACAGGAACTCAAACAGGGCAGGAATCTGGAGGCAGGAACTGATACAGAAGCCATGGAAGAGTTCTGGAAGGAGTGCTGCTTACTGGCTTGCACCCTGTGGCTTGCTCAATCTGTTTTCTTATAGAAACCAGGAACAGGAATACCAGCCCAGGAGTGGCCATACCCACAGGAGGCTGGACCCTCCCCATCAATCATTAATTAAGGAAATGCCCTATAGGCTTGCCCACAGCCTGAACTTATGGAGACATTTTCTCAATTGAGGCTCCTGCTCTCCCGTGACTCTAGCTTATGTCAAGCTGACATAAGACTAGCCAGCACTCCTACAGACTTTATTATGAACTAACGTATTTTAAAGAGCCTCTGTTTGAGAAGACTGGGGCAAGATGTCTGCTTGAAACAGCGTCGTCTGCATATATATGACAGGGAAGTTGCACCCAGGAAATTGTAGCAATTTTGTTCACTGAATGAAACTTGAACAATTATACCAGTAACTGACATGTCAGTGTCAGTGTGAATAGTAAAATTCTCAGATGGCCTCATCCCCTAGAAGAGCAAGCAACAGGCAAGTAATAGTGGAGAAAAGGCGAAGTCTTCTCCACTGATGAGCCTTCTGATGGGCTAGCCAATCCTAAGAGCTCAGTCACTAAATGACCTCAGCAGGTTGTGTTTATAGACACATGTGCACAAGCACTCATGCACACCCACACAATTAAAATTAAAGAATAAGAGATCATGAATTGGAGGAGTGGGAGGAATTGGAGCGTGCAGGGAGAAAGAAGGATGAGGTAACCATGGAATTCATATGAAATTCTCGGAAGAAAATGTGGGTGCTCTGTCAGAGATTACAGCTAGAGTTCCTTCCTTCTGAGGTTAGCTTATGTTTGCTAAACTCCTCAGCACCTACCATTAAGAGGATGGGGCTAGAGTACTACAGGCTGAATAAGACATGGCTCCTATCCTAGGGGTGCTCCAGTGCACAACAAATAATGTTGAATTATTTCTCTTGTTGTTTGACAAGAAGCATCTTTATAGAAAGGGTTTTTTCTGGTCCACAGCTCAAAGGGATACAGTGGACCATGGTGGGGAAGGCATGGCAACAAGAGCATGAGAAGGCTGATCAGGTTATTTGTATCTATAAGTCAGGAAGCAGGGTGGACAGAAAGCGGTAGGGCTTACCTATAAGGCCCAGCACCAGTGACCTGCTTTCTCCATTGAGGATAGGCTTCCTAAAAGTTCCACAAGACTCAAACCAAACATACAGATAAGTTCTGTCTTCCTAATGTGTGGGACTCTGTGAGGTAGGCAGTGTTGTGGGCATCCAGCTGCTGTGGACAAGACGAATTATCTGGGAAAGCTGGCACCTGAGCTGAGCTGGAGGAGATTACTGGGGACATATCTTTGAAGGAAAAACTACTCTGGAAAAGGAATTCTCATGTGCTTAGAAACATTTATATTCCAGTTGACCAGAATGTAGAGAGTGAGACAAGTACTGATGGCAAGGGTGGGTTGAGATGGGGTATTGGTGAACCCTGAGTTTAGACTGCTTGGGAGATAGTTGGGGTGGGGGCATGGTATTCGTAGAGCAACACTGAACAGACTCCTTAGGTAGCAGATGGGGTATCTGCACAATCTGTGTAGGCTTCTGCTGTCCTTGGCCAGGTGAGCAGGAAAGAAACTCAGCAGGATAGATAGAGAAGATGCATAATTGAAGACAGCTGGCTGAGGACAGTCGGCGCACAGGACCTGGAGCTACAGTCCCTGCAGCCACAAGAAAGCCTCTTTAGTCCAAGCTACTGTAGCACACACCGAGAATATCCTCTGCTCTCTTCCCATCATCTTCAGTGCAGGTTCACTGGCTGTATTCTGTATAAAGGTTTATACAACATATCCAAGGTTGGGGAAGGTTGAAAACTGTAGCTCAAAACTGGGCATCAGTACTTAATCATCAAGGAAGCAGCTACCAGTGTATATCCAGGTAGAGCTTGATCTTTCTGCTGTCGTGGTGGCTTAAGGACAGTCAGACAGGTACGCGGCTGTTGGGGAACTGAACCCCATTTCCAGTATCATGACAAGGTGAGTATGCAGAAAGGACCTCCCCATGTGTGTGCACTCACTTCTCCCTCCCCCATCCTCTCTTCTCCCTTCCTTTTTAATCTGATGTCAAACATACTGCTGGCTTACCTTGCAATCAGTGAATTTCAGTTATAATGATTGTCATATTTTTGCATATTTTGGACATTTAGCAAGAATATGATTTGACCCTTATTTGTAGTACTGCAAACTTGTTTTATAAAACCTCAAATTTAAAGTTTAAGGCTTTCTCTAAAAACTTACTTGCTCTTTTATAACAGATATTGTAATATTTTATAATTTTTATAGGTGTCAAGATATAAAGCCAGAAGAACGCAGCATGATTTTTGTAACAAAATGCCCTTGTGATGAATGTGTGCCTTTAATTAAAGGTGCAGGCATAAAGCAGATCTATGCTGGGGATGTGGATGTTGGGAAAAAGAAAGCAGACATCTCTTACATGAAGTTTGGGGAGCTTGAGGGCGTTCGCAAATTTACAGTAAGTACATGCATTTTCCCCAAAGTGTACTTCCTGGATGGTGACCTGCTGAACATTGTGAGTTAGTGATTCTCACTTTTTTCAGACTGTGAGTGAGTTATCATCACTTAGTTTATTTTTATATGTACAAGTTTACCAAACTATAAGTGTGCAGCCAACGATCCCTGCCCTGCACATTTGTTTACAGTGTTAGAGATTGTGCATTGACCTTAGAAGTCTTGATGATGCCCTCTGGTGGCTCAGCATCTCTCTGGACTTGGATTGGTGGATAGAGGTGCAACTAATTTAAATAATGACATCACACATACAATATGCACATTCTCATGAGAGAAATTGCAGAAAAAGTACATATTTAATATTGTTTTAAAAGGGATAGAGGTGATTCATGGAAAAAGTCAGAACTTTTAACATACTTCTTACTACTTAGGCTTTTAAAAAGTGTTTTACTTTTGAATATTCTCAAGCATACAGTAAAGTTGTAAGAATTCTGCAAAAAAATTTTCCAGAGGTTGTTGGCCTAGTAACAAATTGCCCTCTGTTTCCACAATGCGATGAGCATGATAGAGCCTCAGAATCAAGAAATAAAGTGAGACCTTGCTACAGTGAATCTGAGGTTCCAGCCAAGGTTCCTGCTACCCTAGTGATGCTCTGGGAGAGCCCTCTTGTCCAGGGTTACAGAACCCCCTTTGTGTCATTTAGGGACCTAATCCTGGCATCTAATACCCCACTAATAGTCTAGAATGTGCAGTGAGTAGAAAAGTTTATAAACAACTGTTTAAAAATTTCAGCCTTATGTTCCTGTTCCTGTTATATATAGTTTGAGCACAGGGAGCCAGAGCATACATGTACTGTACACACATGTATGTATGTTATTAATGAAATATGTGTTCACAATAGAAGACTAGGAACACTTCAAAATATGTATTATTCTGTAACTTATAAATACCGCTGTATTTTCTGGGTTGTTAAAAGTTCCCAAAAATTATATTTAATATTACAACCTGAATACATAGCTTATATAATTATTTCCTTTTTGGATAACTACATTATCTCTCATTTTATAGTTATAAAAACCTTTCTATAAATATTTTGAAATTAAAGTTTAGAGTCACTGATATATATATATATATGTATATATATATATATATATACATATATATATATATATATATATATACTGTTATTGCTCAAATTAATAGATTTTGGTGATTTGGTGTATTTCAAAACATGCCTTTGTTTTGAAATTTTCTTATATAATTTCTCACACACCTTTTAAAAAGCCCTCCGTTGTGAGTGTGGTATATGTGTGAGCTCACAATGAATATTCATATAGAGGTTAAAGGTTGATGTCATCTTTCTCTGTTACTCTCCATCTTGATTTCTAATACAGGGTCTCTTTCTGAATCTGGAGCTCACCATTTCAGCTAGACAGGCTGGCTAGTGAATCCTGAACTCCAGGGTTACGGGCACTTACCACCATGCCTGGCATCTGTGGGTTCAAGGGATCTGAACTCCGGTCCTCATGCAACCAGCACTTTACCATTGAGCCATCTCCTTACCCTTTTGTCATTTGCTTTGGGCTAACCTGAGCCATCCTATTTTTAGAAGTGACTAAAATCTGATTCACATTTTTATTCTTTAGTGCTCAGGCCTTCTTTAGCTAGTGTGAAATGTAGCAGGTGGGCTGGAGAGATGGCTCAGTGGAGAAGATGCTTGCTGTGCAAACATGAGGACCTGAGTTTGGATTTCTGGAGTTAATGTAAAAAAAAGGGCATGAACAAGAGTGCCTATAACCTCAGAGATGAGTAAAGGGAGACACAAAGAGAGGAGGTTTGCTGGCTGCCAGCGTGGCTGAAAACAGAATTTCAGGGTTAGTGAGAGACTCTGTCTCCAGGGAATGAGGTGAAGAGCAACAGAAGATGCTTGACATCGCCTTTGGTCAATACATGAGCATGCAGACATACACATCCAAATAACACACACACACCAGCAACAGTAACAGCAAATAGCACAGATATCTACTCGCTCAGAAAAATGTCTGCAATCATGACATCTTCCTGGAGCTTAGTACCAAGATGGCTGTCATGGGCCTGGGCACCTAGAACTCTTCCCCAGAAACAAGTCAAGAAAGCCAGCAAGGTGGCCATTATTGCAGGATATTCCCACATTGACTGCACATACTTATATAGCAAGAATGAAGAGAGAGAAGCCATCTAAGGTAAGATCAAAGAGAAGGATGTGAAGTGAGAAGACTTCGTCATCAGCAAGTTGTGGTGTGCCTGCTTTGAGAGAAAGCTGCTGGAGAAACCCTTCAGAAGACCCTCCAGTTTTGAAGCTGGATTATTTGGACCTCTGTCTTATTCATTGACCACAGGGACTTCAGCCCAGAAAGGAGTTGTTCCCCCAAAATAATAAAATCAATGTTCTCACCAGTAAAATAACCTTCTTGAAGATGTGGAAGAACTAGTAAATGAAGAGTTAATGAAAGTCCTGAGTCTCTCCAACTTCAGCTACCAGATTGAAAGACTCCCGAACAAAACCTGGACTGAAACATAAGCCAGTGACCAACCAGGCTGACTGTCACCCACACCTCAACCCAGACAGGCTGATCTAGTACTGCTACTCCAAAGGCATCAGCATCATAGCCCCCTGGGTTCTCCAGACAGGCCTTTGACTAATCCAGAGGACCATTGAGTACTAGAGGACCCCAAGATTAAAGAGACTTCTACAAAGCACAAGAAAAACCTCTGCCTGGGTTCTGATTTGGTTCCATATCCAGAGGACTGTGGTAGTGATCCCCAAGTCTATGTCACCAGAACACATACATGACAACTTTGACTTCCAGTTGAGTGAGGAAGAGATAGCCACCAATCTCAGCTTCAACAGAGACGAGGGCCTGCCTGCTGCCTGAGACAGTGTGTATAGAAGAATATCCCTACAACACAGAGTACTGATGACAAATCATCTGATAAGACTGCCTGGTGGATTCCCTCTTTGCTAGCATGCACCTCACTTCTTTCAAGTCCTTTTAGCCAGGCGTGTCTGATACCATGCTGTAGCAGGCTTGATGGGGGACAAAATCTAAGTGATAATGTATTTAAATTCTCGTGCAGATTGTTGCAGGGAAATGTGACTTGAAACATTTCTTACACTAATATGATCTGACCAGATATTTGTCAAACACCAGGAACCCTGATAACACTGGGGATATAAAGATAAAATAATAGAAACAACAATAGTAACAAACATAAAGAAACACCTCAGTAGGTCCTGGAGTTAGACAGGTTGTGGTGCTCAGCATACTCATGCAGATTCTAACTCTATCTCTGTGACACTTCTCTGGTCTTTTATTTAGCACCTACACAATGAGTGTAAAGGGTCATTAGAGTCCCTTTCTTCTCTGAGAATTTTGATTCTAGTTCAGATGATCTCAATAATCTCATTCAGGGTCATTCAAGGTCAGTGCCTTAGGCATGTACACATAGATGCGCTAACTCCATTTCTTGTACTTTTAAACAAAGCAAGATACTGATATGCCGTTTATTAACTCATTTTAATATGAGTAAAATATTTGTACCTCCTACAGTGGCAGTTGAATCCATCTGAAGCTTATAGTCTCGACCCAAATGAGCTTGAAAGGAGAGAAAGTAAGTATTTCTAAGTGTTCTGCTGAGGCTGTGATGCTGAGGAGAGAGAGAGAGCGAGTTCCTAAGATCAGGTGATGGACCCGTGTGGGTAGATGCAGGATATTCTTTTCTCAAGATTAGATTCAGTCATTTATTTTGTTGATAGACATGTGTGCTGTATGTGAGGGTCTGTGTGAAGTGCTGCTTGCTAACTACTCCAGTAACATAAATGACTGTATACAAATTGAATGTGTAATTCAGTGAGCAACAACACTCTTCTACACAGAGCAAAAGCTGCTTGGGAACTGTGAATACTTAGCACAGATGTGTGAGGCCAAGTGATGAGGGTATCTGTGTTCTTGTAGAGTAAAGCCGCAGTGGCCCAGGCTGCTCTGAGAATGGAAAGAATCTGTTAGTTTCAATAACCTAATTAAGCAAAAATTTCCACAAGGAATCACTAGTCTTTACATTTATTATTTACATATTAAGAAAAGCCATATTGGATGTAGTCTATCTTTGAGAGTTCTTAAAATTCTGTAAGTGCATGATTTTGATCATACTCTGCAGTTTCTTTTTCTTTTTCTTTTTTTCTTTCTTTTTTTTTTTTTTTTTTTTTTTTTTTTTGGAATAGTAGCTTGGTTGTGACTCCTGTGTATTTTCTTAAGAGCAGCAAAGATTTGATTATCTTTTAAAAATCCAAAAATATAAGGGTCTCTATGAAAACATGAATGTCTTATTTATTATTTACAATCTGGAAAAATATAACTATTACATTTTCTTTTTAAGATTTTATTAAGAAATTAAAGATGTGACACCGATCAAAGGTGTTTTAGGGCCAGGGAAAGTGTTGCTGTGGTTAGGGAAAGAATGTAGAGTGCTTACTGTAGAAAGACATATTCCTTTGTCTGTGTCCATTAAGAGCATCTGTCCATCAAAAGATCCCTCTAAGAGGGTGCAAACGGAACAGAAGACATATGCCACTTACAATCAGCTAAGGGCCCGTGTCCAGGATTTCCCACACCTGCGCCTCAGGAGGAGGAAGACATGTCTGCAGGTGACGTCAAGAGAGGACAAGGAAGGCTGCTGGTTATCAGGCAGTTTTCTTAACTACCCGAGCAATTGCTTTACTTCTTGTGACAGTTCATTAAGTTCAGCTTATGTTTTGATGCATTTTTAAAAAAGAATTTTATACCAATAAATAATATTCTTACTTCCTTTTCAATTTTGGAACAGCTTTCTAGTGTATAATTTACTTACCATGAATTCACTCCTTTAAACAACAGAACTACCCAGCCTTCGTATATTGAGAGCTAAGTACCCATCACTGCAATGGTTCATTACTGTACAAAGAAACATGATACCATTATAGTCGCCTGTCCTTCCTCCCCTTCTCTAGCCTAGTCAATGCTAGCAGCTTTATGTATTTATCTCTGCTGTCCATTTCATATGCATGGACTCACACAGTGTGTGGTTCCCTTTTAAACTTCGAGGTAGGACTATGAATGACTGGTCCCAAGTACCCTGTGCTGTAGAAATAGCCCAAAGCACTTTTTAAATATAGACTTTCAAGACAATAAAGGAAATGTTCAGAGACCCATAGTCCCTTCAAGAAATAGAGGTAAGAGGGACTTGTTACTAGAATCTGAGTAGCAAAGTATGCAAACACTAAAGTCAAGTGATCCAGGACAGCTGGGAAAGCAGCCGCAAGAGTCAGTGGAGTCTGCTTCAAGGTGGGAAAGGCTTCCAGCCTTGAAAGGAGCCTCTGGCTTCCACTCAGTATTCCCTGGAGTCCCTCATCAGAAGCAAATGCAGTCTTCTCTAAGGGGAAGCAGCACCAGTGTAGACTCACAGGATGAGACTTGACATTATAACTGACAAGCCAACAGACATTAAGGGGAGTGGACTCCATTCATGGAGTGAACTGAAGCAGCTAGCTCTGCAGTTAGACCTGGGAACTTGTGCTGGAACTACCAGACAGGGTAAATGTAAACCATCTAAGAGCCCATTGAAAAGCGGACCTACATGTGCTGACATAAACATCTAATCTCTGCTCCAGGGAGACTGAGGCAGGAGGATTGTGATTTGGGGGACAGCTTGGGCAAAAAAATGTGAACAAAGTATTATGAAAAAGGATCAGGCATTTTTGAAAATGGAATTTGGAAAAATGAAAATTAGTTACTAAACAGTAGTTAAGGTAAGCTGCTGTTTTCTAATAGGCACTCTGTTGGTATTTGAAGGTTACATCTTAACAATAGATTACCTACTGCATATTACTGGCAAGTGGGTTACTCATGTAGAACTTGATGAAAAGCTCTTAGTAATACTCAAGACTAATCCCAAGAAGTAAAGATTAGAAGAAAAGATAATTAAAAAGGTGGGGGTTTTGTTAAAAAAAAAATCTAAATATTATTATTACCTGGAAAAAATATGTAGCACATATAAATCTTGTTTAGGACACAAATAAATGCTAACTATAAGAGGAAATAATTGACAAATTAGAATACATTCCTAGCATCACTGCAGCAGAAACAAATATCTGGAAATCCATGAGCAGACTCAAGCATTTTCAGAGAACATAACCAAGGGTGCTAGGGCCAAGTGAGCAAGAGATGGGGGTTCAGAGTTCCTTTGTACGTTGGGCAGAGCTGCAATTTTAAATCACATTGTCTAGATTAGAGATTATCTGTAAAATCCCACATGGTACATCCCATGGCCCAACAAGTCAGCTTGCAAGTACAAGCCCTGGAGAAACAGTGTAATATTGTTCTTGAGAACAGGTGTTAGAAATGAAAGTTTCTCTGAAGAGGTTAGAGTTTTAAAGAAATATGTAGTGTATTCACACAGTGTGGATTACTGTGAAGTGAAATAAGTGATCTGTGGCTACATTCTTCAATATGGATGAATCAGAAACAGTGTTGAATGAAGGCAGGAAACTGCCGATGACAAACGGTAGAATGTTCAAGAGGAAGCCAATCAGTGCATTGTGTCACGTATATGATAAAAATACTTAAGAATTTCAGCCCACTCTGGGTGGGGCCGAAGTTGGGGAGGGGGCTGAGAAGTCATAGCATGTGGGAACTAGTGGTGATACAATTGTTTTGGATAGCATGTTCTCTTGTCCCCACACAAAGCTGCTGCACATTTAAGGAAGACAATTCTTTGTTTGATTATCTGGCTAAATCATGAATAAATTTTGTATTTCAAATATAGCACAAAAGGGGGCAGGGCTTGCACCTCCCCCGGGAAGACAGCTGTGGCAGTTTTATGAAGAAGTAGAGGGTGGAGGGGAACTTGCAGGTGCTGGGTATGTTTGTTGTTGGGTTCACACAAATGTGTTTACACCAAACTCATTGGGTTTTACACTCCTAATATCTTTTAAGCGCATGTACGTTATGATGCCAGTAAAGTTGTTAGAAACCAAAAGCCAGGGAAAACATGAAGCCAGTCCTCCTCCTGGCATGTCCCTCCCAAAGGCCATCTTCCCGTTCTGGGGGCCTGGAGTGTGAGTCTGTGTCTCTTCCAGATGAATAATAACTCCTGCGTACTTCCCCACCCCAAGAAAGTTATGCGAGTTTTTTTACTAACCATTGCTGAGTGAATCTAGTTTTTCAAGGGCTGTCAGATCTGTGAGTTGTCTAGTCAATATGGACTGAATGCATTTTAGAGTGTGGGATGTTGAAATGGGTGAGAAGTTGAAGGTCAAGATAAAATACTTGTTCCTTTTCCATTAGCATGATCTGTCCTCCCAGCCTCATGGCTGGAACAAGTCCCCATGGGTTCTGTGTGTGCTTCCTGACATGAAGTTATTCTTGCATGCTAGATGGTGTGTTGAGGCACAGGTCTACAAAGGAAGAACAGCAGAGCAGCAAGAGGCCTCGTCTGGAAACCCGCTCTGCAGGCCGGGCACCACTGCAGTAAGCTGCGTGTTTTCTTACTGCACCTCTCAAATTCAGCCTCTGGGTTTGTGAATGACTGAGAAGCTTTGACAGGGCTGAGTTCTAGTTAGCCTATTAGTAATATTACCAAGGACCTTTTTATTTTAGATGTGTTTCTCAGCACACAGTGTGTTCTTTCATTACACTAAATGGTGTAGCAATGGTTTGAGACCCGTGTAAGACCAATGGTACCTACTGCTGTTTATCCAGACTCTGTGCAGCCAGTTTCCAAAGGGGCTTATTCACAGGAGATGATCTTCTTTGGACAAATAGTAATTCCTTTGGATTACAAGGATGACAATCAATAAACTTCCCAGGGAGTAAAATGATCGGGCCATCCATGTAGAACTAACCAAAAGGCTGCATTATACCAAGTCCTCTAGCCAGAACTTGCTGAAGTAGGATCAACTCAAAGTTGCCTTGCCTGTTCCCCATTTGAAGTGTGTTTTATGAGTGGCCTGGGGAGTCAGGCCAGTGGAGCTGTGCTGTGAGAGCATGTGCAAGCTCTTGAGTTTCCTCCATAGCACCCCAAAAAAATAAAATGTCAATCTCACCTAAATGTGTGGTGGTGGTGGTTGTTGTGATGGTGGTGGTGGTAGGGTCTTGCTCTGTAGCCCAGTCTCACCTCAAAAAAAAAATCACCATGTAGTCCAGACTGGTCTCGAGCTCATGGCTGGTCTTGCCTCTTTCTGTCTCCTGAATGCTGGGTTCAGAGGTATGTACCACCATACCCATCCTCTCCTAATATTTTTGCTTGAAGATCCATAGCAGCTTTTTGGACTACAGTGCAGTTATGTCACTGATTTTGGTGGCAACAAGAAGAGAATACAACTCTCAGGCAATTCTGCTGTTTGATTTACTGTGAGGTCACAAATTTGATCATGGTTTGGGACTGGGAAGATGGCTCACTCAGGCAGTAGAGTACTTGCCTTTCAAGCATGAGAACCTGAGTTCAAGCACCCATAGAACAAAACAAACAAAAACAACCTAGGCATGGTGTCAAACACTTGTAATCCCAGCATTGGAGAGGTTTCTCTTGGGTTTGCTGACTAGCCAACCTAGCCTACTTGGAGAGTTCTGGACCAATGAGACCTATATCAGAAAATTAGGTTGCTAGCACCTGAGCAACAATGGCTCAAGTTTCTCCATGTGAGCACTCACACATACCCTGCATATACACACAGACTTTGACCATGATGTGAGTGGGGAAGAACCATTTGCACGTGAAACACTGAGACTATTTAGAAACCTTCCTCTGTATGCCACCTCCTACATGACTCCCCATCCACGAACCTAATGGCTTGTGTCTTATGGCTTTGATGTTGGAAGAGAAGGCCTTTTAACATATGCAAGCCTCAGAAACACTCAGTCTTAAAAAATAAACATAGCCAGGGACTGGGGAGATGGCTCAGAGGTTAACAGCACCTGTTTCTTTTAAAAGAGGACCCAGGTTCAGTTCCCAGCACCCACATGGTGGTTCCAGAAGACCCGATGCCCTCTTCTGACCTCCTCACATACACACGTACAAGTAAAACACATATAAAATGAATAAATCTAATCAGGGTTTTAAAAGATAAACAGATCCATCTCTAATTATGCCTTGTGGGTTCTATCTATTGGCTGAGAAATTTTCAGAAAATGAGTCTACAAATGAAATGTAGAGGAGTGGAGGGTGTGCACTCGCCCTTGGATGGGAGAGGGCCTCATGGCTGGGTAGAAGAGACTGGTTTTGCCTTCTGCCCCCTTCACAGCATCATGGGGTAACATGGATATTACCACTAGCCTTCCAGAGATAAGCACAGGACAACCCAGACCCCTGCTCATGTAGCAGCAGCCTTCACAGGTATAGGACATGAATAGGGAATGTGAGCAGCATTACAGGTAATGGATGCTGCTCCGAAGATCACCTGCTAACTCCACTGTAATCAATATCAAACTCTGAGATTGTCCACTGTCAGGATTTTTTGTTATTGTAGCCATACATGCCTTAATATTTATCTACAAATTCAGCCCTACAGAAGATGCTAGAAGGGAAACTACAATCTAAAGAGGTCAACTACAACTATGAAAACACAAGGGTCTAAGACCTGAAAAGTCAAAAGAAAATATACACAATAACTCTCTCCTCTCTCCCATGCCTCTCTCTTATACACACACAAATCAATTAAAAGGCAGGGAGAGAATATCCAAATTATCAAAATCAGAAATGCAAAGGAAAGAGTATAACATCAGACACTGGAGAAATTTAGAGAATCATAAAGACATACTTTTAAAAAAAATCTACAAGAAATGAATAATTTTCTCAGTAGGTACCACTTACCAAATCAAGATCATATAAGCAGTTTAAACAGACCTATAATCCCTAGTGAAATAGAAGTGGTCATTAAAAGTTTCACAAGCCCTCTCCCCTTGCAAAAAAAGTCCAGGGCCAGATGGTGTTAGCACAGAATTCCACCAGATTTTCAAAGAAGAGTTAACCCCAATACTCCTCAAATTATTCCATTAAATGGAAACAGAAGGAACATTGTCCAAATCATTTTTGGGGTCACATTTACCCTGACGCCTAAACCACACAAAGATCCAATGAAGAAAGAATTACAGACCAATTTCCCGTATGAACACAGATACAAAAATAATAAAATATATACAAACCAAATCTAAGAATATATCAAAAAGATCATCCACCAGGATCAAGTAAGCTTCATCCTAGATGTAGGGATGATTCAACATATATAAATCAACAAATACAATCTCCCACACAAATGAAGTGAAAAATGAAACCATTTCTGTATGTCATTACATACAGAAAAAGCATTTGACAAAATCTGATGCTATTTCATGATAAAAGTCCTGGAGAGATTAGTGATGCACAAGATATACCTCAACATAAAACCAGATACACTGCACCTTATAGAAGAAAAGTGGGGAATAGCCTTGAACTCAACGTCACAGGAGAAGACTTTCTGAACAGAATACAATTAACTCAGGAACTAAGACCAACAATGGGACCTCATGAAACTGAAAAGCTTCTGTAACGTAAAGGACACCATAATTTATGCTACAGAATGGGAAAAGATTTTCACCAACTCCACATCTGATAGAGGACTAATATCCAAAATATCTAAAGAACTCAAGATATCAAAACTAGATATCAAAAACCAAATAATCCAATTTAAAAATGGGGTACAGATCTAAACATATTCTCGATAGAGGAAATTCAAATAACTGAAAAATACTTAAATGTTCAACATCCTTATCCATCAGGGAAGTTCATATCAAAACTACTTTGAGATTCTGTCTTATATCTGTTAGAATGGCTAATACACAAATGACAGCTCATGCTGGCAAGGATGTGGAGCAAGGGGATCACTTCTCCATTGCTAGTTTGAGTGCAAACTTTTACAGCCACTATGGAAATCAGTATGGGGATTCCTCAGAAAGGTGGGAATCAATCTTCCTCAAGATCCAGCTATACCACCCTTGGGCATATACCCAAAGGATGCTTTATCCTACCACAAGGACACTGGCTCAACTATGTTCATTGATTATCTATTCATAATAGCCAGAAATTGGAAACAACATACATGTCCCTCAACAGAATAATGGATAATGAATGGATAATGAAAATGGAGTAGTGCTCAGTTGTTAAAAAAAAAAAAAAAAAAGACACCATAAAAAAAAGACACCATGAAATTTGTGGACAAATGGGTGGAACGAGAAAAAAAAAATACTGACCCAGAAAGATACATATGGTATGTATTCACTGATATGTGGATATTAGCCATTAACTTAGTGATAACCAAGTTATAATCTGTAGTCCCAGAGGTTAAGGGTAAGGAAGGGACTAGGGGAAACACATGAACCTCCCTGAGAGGGAGAAATAGAATAAGTTTTATGGTGGATTGGGGCAGGAGGAACAGGAATGGGAAGATCTGATGGGGAAGGAGAGGAGAGATAGGGTTGAGGGAGGGGAAGTGGAGTGAGACAGTTAGAATTGGTAGATGTTTGAGGATTGTTTGAAAACTTAGTGCAGTGGAAACTTCCTAAAATATATGAATGTGATCCTAATGAAGTCTCCAAATAATGAGACAGAGTTCCAGCTGGCCATATCTTGTCACTAAATTAAGCTTCCAGTGCTGGGACTGTGTTACATCCAATTGAGCTGCTGACCAAAATAGTCCCATGGAAATCCTCAGAGAAACCAAGCTGTTGACAAGAGAATAAGATGCTCTCCCCATTGCTGAAGACAGCACCCATACAACTCACAGAACATGGAGAAGTTAAGCTTGTGGCTACATAAAACTTTTACCCCCATATTCTAGTGTTTTTTGATATAAGAAAGTACTCTGTAGGCCAGCAACAGAAACAAAAACATTGATCCAGACACAGACTTTTTGATTTACAATCTGTCCTGCCTGCAAAATATGCTAGGGCACAAAGCTTATGGGAGTAACCATCCAATGTCTAATTTGACTTAAGGCCTACTCCATGAGATGGAACCCATAACTGATACTTCTTGGGTGAACAAAAATTAGTAATTAGATACCCCAGAGACCTAGCATAAATCCAAATACTACTAATCTAAAAAAGTAACATTAAAATGACTCCTAATGATATTCTGCTATATGCAGATCAGTGACTTATTCAGCCATTATCTGAGAAGCTTCCTCCTGCTGAAAATGGGAACTAATACAGAGACTGGCAACCAGGCAAAACATACATACAGAATCTTTGGAACACAACCCTAAATAGAATGTGTCCATTAAATCTTCCCCATCCCTAGAACTCACAGAACCCATCAGAAGAGGAGGGGCAAGGGATGTAGGAATCAGAGAAGATGGAAGACACCAGGAGAACAAGGCTCTCCCTTTCACTCAACTGTGAGTATGAACTCACAGAGACTGAAGCAGCAAGTAAGGGCCTGCATGGGTCTGCTCCAGGCCTTCTGCATATGTATTATAGCTTTCAATTTAGCTTCAAACTCCCATATCCTCCTGCCTTTGCCTCCTGAGTGCTGGGATTAAAGGTGTGCTATAACACCAGTTGACGGGTCTTCCATTCTTGTGCCTTCTCTTAGGGTTATTTCCCTTCTGTTGGTTTGCCTTGTCCAACTTCAATGTGATGGTTTTTGTTTTATCTTATTATGTTTTATTTTGTTTAAGAACTATTAAAAATAGAAAAAAAGAAAAAAGAATCAAAGTTATGCCAGCAATGTAATAATAATAATAATAATAATAATAATAATAATAATAATAATAATATGGTGATGAGACTGCCTTCATTCTAAATATGATAAACAGGCAGGACAAGCTTCTAACTAGTTCAGGAAAGCCTGTGGTAGGCCCCTTCCCTGACCAACAATCCAGGGAAGTCAATACGATTCAAAGGAGGAGATCTCATTGGGGCTACTCCTGGGTGTGGCTGCTGGTTTAAAGGTAAGAGAAGTTTAGTTTCAAACTCATGATCAAAATATCCAAGTTTTAGACACAGATATCTGGCCCTCTGCCAACAGGATCCATGGGGCTCTTATTGGGGAAAAAGCATTGGGACGTTTAACGATTTAAATGTCTGTCCTAGGGTTATTAATTCAGATTACCAGGCATTGTAGTATCAGCCAACAAAGCCCCCCATCTGCTGGCTTAAGAAAAGATTGCATAACTGCTTCTACTGCCTTGTATAATTCCCAACACCACACTGTGCCGACAGACTGGTGGCACAATATTTTAATTACTAAACAAACAGAGATCTGAAACTTCGACAACAGCAGGATCCTCACACTGAGTGGTATGCTTGGAGGATGGTCCTTGTCCCTCACCCCACCCCATCTGTGTGGCCATCTTTTTCAGGTCTTCTCTAGATGTGACTGGTCACTCAGGCTGGGTTCTAAGTCCCAGATGAGGAAGAACCCACCCCCTCTTAAAATGATGTTGGGATGGACCTCCACACCAAACTGTTCTTTTGGTGAAGTAGGCTCACCCCAGCCATTCCCCTTTTCTCTGCCTTTGGTCCTTCAGCAGGGACACAGACCTGTTTGTTTCATTCTCCACCACTTGATTACCTGAAGATGGTCATTGTGCTCCACCATCCCATGACAGCCTTCCCCCCATTCTGAAGGTTCACTGTGTCAGTATATAGAGGACTGCACATGCCTGTAGAGGATTTGTTACATGGGGGTTTAATTTCACAACACAAAATGGGGGCAACTTCCAACTTAGACAAGGAGACAGACCCTCAGGATAACTGACCCCTTCACTGTTTGGTAATGATTGACAGGGCAACATCTGAGCCTACTGCTCCAAATCCAAAATCTGCAGGGAGGCATGATTTTTGTCCACCCTCTCCCTCTGATGTTATCTACATTCTCATGAGGACCCGTTTCCTATGTGAGAGACATCCATGGTCCCAAATTTTACCTTTCCTGTTTTCACACTTGTCTTGGTCACTGTTCTGTTGTGGGGGAGGCCCCATGACTGCAGCAACTCTCATAAAAGAAAGCATTTAGTTGGCGGCTCAATTACAGTTTCAGAAGTTTAGTCTGTCATCACCGTGGCGGGAGCATGGCAGCAGGTATGTATGGTGCTGGAGAAATACAGCTACCAGCTACATCCTGATCCATAGGCTAACAAGAGAAAAAGAGACTCAGACAGATAGACAAACAGAGAGAGAGAGACAGAGACAGAGTGAGACAGACACATAGACAGAGACTGGGCCTGGCATGGGCTTTTGAAAACTCAAAGCCCACCCCCAGTGACACATCTCCTCCAATAAGGCCACACTTAATTTTTCAACTAGCGCTGTTCCCTGAAGACTAAGCATTCAAATATGTGAGCTTATGGGGGCCTTCAAATCCCAACACTGTTCACCAAATGTCTTTGTAAATTCCTCCTGTCAGGAGGTAGAACAGATTTCTCCATCCTTGACTTCGGGTTCAATAGCAAGAGAGAAATGACCTGACTCAGTTGTGATATCAGGTCCCTACATGCTTTTCCTTTTAAAATTATTCTTGAGACAGGGTCTTGTCACACACATACCCCAGGCTGACTTTGAGCTGGAAATCCTCCTACCTCAGCCTCTTAAGTACAAGAATTGTAATAGGGCATCATCGGGCCTGCCTCTCCATTGATTTGTTTGTGCTCCTGTGGCCAGTGGATACTCAATTGCAGCCTTGGCTACTGGCCTAGAAAGCCTTCCTGGGTGTGATGTTACTGTACTTTGGGGGAACTTGTAGTGTGGTTCTTACTCAACTTTCAAGTATCGTAGACCTCCCTTAGCCGTCACTTCCTTGCCTGGAAGCACGGGCTAACTTCCTTAGCATCCTCAACTTCACCCATTCATAAACGAACAGCCTGAGAAATGCTTAAAGGCCAAGCCCTCATGGGTCCCCATAGCCTTTACCCATTAAACAGCTTATCTTCTCACTCACCCCTGGAAATCCCTGCCCCCAGGTTCTTGGTTCCCTCAGCTTTGTCCCAGTGCTCACTCTGCCCCTGCCTTCACTCCCCAGGCCACACCCACTCTACTCTTGCCTGATGTCCCTTTCTTAGGAGTCCTCATCTTCCACACCCACAGGTCCAGTTCCCACAGGTAAACTGCCACCTGGCAGCTCCCTCAGAAGGGTCTGGCCACTGGCTAGAGAAGTATGGGTGTATGGGAGAGAAGTGACCCAGGTCTATACCTGAAGAGTCCAAGTGCAAGGTGACATAATCTGGCAGGGACTGGGGTCACCATATGTCTTTCTTAGAGTACCCCTAAAGAAGTAGAAACTTGAAAGTCCAGGGTTTTCAGCTCAGTTTTAGTGTTTATAGTGCTGGGAGGAACTCAGGGCCTCCTGCATGGCAAGCAAGCACTCTGCCTAAATGTACCATGTGGCTACATTCCTTGCTTAGGAATTTTGTTTGAGGACTCAGGGATGCGACTATGTATTGGCCTGTGGTTACATTTAACCCAATCTTGCATCTTGCTAAGCTCCTTGTCAATTTTGCTGTGTATGCTCTTTGAATAGGCCTCTCAGACTCCTGACACAAGGGCATTTGATGAATGAGTTAGTTACAGCTAAGCCACACAGATCCTGTTAACTAAAGAGCTCCTCAGGATTCCAGTAAGACCATTGTTTGTTATAGCCAGCAGAGGGCAGCATGTCCCAGAAGTTGAAGAAAAGGCCCCTTGGAAGAGATGAAATAACATGCTACCTTGTATTAACAACAGGATTCTGGAATGGAGGAGAAGAAAGACAAGAAGTCACAGATCTGCCCAAACCCTGGTGCTGAGAGCCTGTGAACCATCAACAGGCAGGTGCATTGAGAGCTCAGAGATGAAGTCATCAGCGTGCACAGATTCTGAATACAAAGCCAAGACATGAAGACAAATGAAGGCAGAATGTTAGGTTTATCGTCACTGAGGTGTAGGATTGGGAATTGGTGTGGACCACATGGTCATTGCTGCTTGACAAAGTTCCAGCATTTTGACTTTATGATCACAATTCTCGAGCAGCCTTTTACTTTCATTTTAAATTATTCTCACTATGTGTTGTTGGAGTTCCCTTATGCCTCTTCCTTTGGGAAATTTTGTGCTGGCTTTGAAGGGTGAAAAATGTATAAAATGGCAGCCTATTTAAACAAAATCCTTGGGGTAAAAATCCCCACCATGGTGGAACCATGTGGCATGATGACTCTTGCACATAGGAATCCCATTGTGCCCTCCTGATTACACCAAGAACAAGAATGTTAGAGATTTACTAGATACACCTGATCCCAAGGATAAAACGCCTACAATAGAAATCCACAGCCTGAAGCTATTAAGGGCAAGAGTTCAGTTAGTAAGTATAGAGAGATCAGAATGGTAGGGTATAATGGGAAAAGAGTAAGACATCAGGACATTCCCCTTTGGGAGTGTATGAGGGCAACAGGTCCATAGAGTAAGACTAAGACACAAAGGGATGCAATTGGGGAACAGCTCAGTGCAAACACTGCATCCTGCCCCTTGAAGAATAAAATTGACTTTAAATTGTAGTGGCGTGCCTGTTCCCAGAAGTCCTTTCCCCATCCCCTCAGGGGCTTGAAGAAAGTTCTTGGTTGCTAAAAGCAGTCATTCTCTTTATCTCTGGCAGGAAAACTTGTGACTTAGTGAACTTTTGAGAACAATAGGTATTTAGACACTTCCTGAACTTACTGCTGTTGTCTCAGAAAAATACTGTTATGAAGTTAATGGCCATTTTCATCTTTGAATCATTGAATCCAGTTTCAACCCTGCTTGTGACTATTGAGTCTAAAAGGTTTGCCTTTTTCAATAAAGGGGCAGCCATCCCAATTCACCCTCAGATTGTGCCAGTCTCCTCCTTCCCTTCAGCAAATCCACATCTCCTCTTTGGGACCTGAACCCCACTAGAGCTGAACTCCAGCATAGGATCAAAGAGCGTGAGGCCTGTGAGAGCTAAGAGAAGGTAGAGCTGTGACAAGGGGTTGGGTTGGGATGTGGCTTAGTTAGCTGAGTACCTCCCTAGCATGCAGGAGGCCACAGGTTCAACCCCCAGCACTGCAATCTTTGCAGGTGGCAGGGAGAGAGGGTCAGAAGTTCATATTTGTCCCACGCTACATAGGGTGTCCGAGGCCAACTATGGGATACATGAGACTCTGTCATAAAAGAATGGCTATCTCTTTCTGGGTAGTTGAGAGGGGGCATCAGATGGGCGCAGGACATGATCCACTGCAGAATGTGACCTGTTGCATCTGGAAACCCTGAAGGCCTGGAAAGAGGATCTCAGGGGAGATGGGAGGACAGCAAGGATGATTTGTGGGGTTCCTCTGGTTGAGAAGAGATAACAGCTCATGTACTCACTTAGCATGTGTTGAGGGACAGAAGCAGGGTTTGGAGTGAGCAAGATGAAGAATGGAAGGGTTTTAACGTGGGATGTAGGGAACTTATTGAGGAGCAGAAGCTAATGAGGTCATGTGGATGCCTATTGCAACCCAGACCCAGGGCTTAGAAACAGGATCAGTGTGTGACATGGGGACAAAGAGGCAGTACAGGTAACAGAAGTTGGAAAGTTTTGCATAGGAAATGTCTCTCAAAGGCTCAGGTCCCAGGCAAGCAGTATTAGGTGGGACTTCTGGGAAGTGACTGGATCATGATGTCATCGATGCTTTTCACCAGTGGTAGAAACTATACGAATAGGGCCTGTTGTAATATATTGCAATGGTGAGCAAGGTGGGGGACAAACATGCCAGGCAGACAGAGCTTAAGTGAGACGTTTTATTAGAAAGGGAAGGAAAAGGGGGAGAAAGAAGAGAAAGGAGGGAGAGAAAGACAGAGAAAGGAAGAGTCCTATCTGCCCTTTTAGAGGAATAGTGGGAAAGAGAGCAGAGGTGGAGTTTTCTCTTAAAGGGCCCCTTGCACCTGTGTGTAGACTATGTAATGATGGAGGAACCATGGAACCCTGGGCTGGCCAGGGTATGGCCTGAGTGCATGCTGCCAGGTGACAGGGAACAGGCCAGCATAATGCCTGAATCCTTTCAGGGCCTATTGAGGCATGCCCTGGAAGGAGTTATGGTCCTAACCTCTTCATGTCCCTCTCTGCTTCCTGCCTCCATGAGGGAAGTATGTCTTGCAGCACACCTAAAAGTGTGAGGCCAGACAAATGGGCCAAACCATTTGAGTTGTTTTCCTCTGAGTTTGTCATAGTGAGGGAAAGCTGACTACCACAGTGTGTGTGTGTGTGTGTGTGTGTGTGTGTGTGTGTGTGTGTGTGTGTGTAAGGAGTCTGGCATTTTGCTGGCTGCCCAGTCACCTGGCAGAATGTACTCATGCAGTACCTTGGTCAGCCCAGGTTTGTGTTCCATGGTTGTGTAGTCTACAGAAAAGTGCAAAAGACTCTTTAAAAGAAAGACCCTGCCCACTTATGCTCTCTTTTCCCTCTCTTTTCCCTGCTGTTCCCCTGGGGCAGACAGTACTTTTCCTGTCTCCCTCTTCTCTTCTGTCCTCCCTCTGTGTCTCTTTACCTCTTTTCTCTTCCTTCCCCCCTCCCCTCCCCTTTCTAATAAAACATGCTTTGTCTGCCTGGCATGTTTGTCCCCCCGCCTCAGTTACCTTCACCTGCCTTGGAATTCAGAGGTCCCCCATATGTATTAGCATAATGGGGGGAGCTGGTTTAAATCAAGAGTTTGGGTTGATGGTCAAGCATAACAAAGTACAATCTGAGAGTTCGGAGGAGAAAGCTAAATAAGTTTGGGTCTGGAACACATTTTGTGCAGGAAGGCCCTCTAGAGAGGAACCTAGAAGGGCATCAGACTCACCTAGAGAGCGGAGAAACAAGGGGCTAACATGGGAACAAAGCACTTTCCCTAGTGCTGTGAGGATGGCATGAGGGAATAGCATGGGTGGCCCTGCCCTCCATGTTCCGGGATTGCTCACAAGGAGAGAACAATGAGTGGGCATCAACACTTTCATTATGCCAATATTCACATTTACATAAGGTACCAAAATCAGCTGGGTTGTCTGGCACAAGTGAATGGAATAATATGTAACATGAACATGCACATTAAAACATGTCAAATGGCACAAAATATTCAAGATAAAATGGTTACCAGGCATTGGATGCAGCTCAGTGGTGTGGGAATTAAGACCTTGGCTAAGAATTCACTTCCCCCTGCCCCTCAGGGCAGGCAGCTGTAACTGCAGGAAAACAAAAACAGGTTTACTGAGGCAAGATGTTCCTTGTTTTCCACAACCTTGGAACGCTCTAACGGGTCCTTGGAACCTGAGATGACTAACAGCCCCCCTCCGCTTCCTTCTCTTCCATCAAGCAAAAGTCCTGTGTTGTTAATCCCGACACCCTCCGCAGATTCTCAGTCCCCAGCCGTGCAGGCGCGGCAATTGGAAGTCCCACGGAGATCTGAAAGCAAGGTAAGTGGACAGGGTCATCCCTTGTGCCAGCCAGGATGTATTGGGGTAAATAGAAAACAGAGAGATGGGGAATTCACCCGGAAAGGTTGAATTAAAATTTCAATTAAAGGAACGTCTAGAGGAACAGGGAACTGCAGTAAAGACCAAAAACTCAAAGGCTTTTTAAAATCCGTTCAACGGGCTAGTCCTTGGTTCACAACAGGCAGAGGCCTGAATATGCCCGATTGGGAGGAGGTCAGACACGACCTGCAGAAATTGCTAGAGAAAGAGGGGCCTGACAGTTTGCCACTCTCCACCTTCTCCTTGTGGAGACTGGTAAAGGATGCACTTCTAACAGATAAGGTCCGCCTGAGACAAGCGATACAGGCTGGTAACAAGGTTTTAAAAGAGATACAGGAGACAGAGACTTGGCAGTTCTGAGTTGGAAAGTGAAAAAGATGAGCCCAAGAGGGTATCCAAGAAGCCGCTGGGTGCCCGGGCAGATCAGAGAAAGATCATATCTTCAGGGGAAGACAGAGCCTTTCCTAAGGACCCTGGAGAGCGGCCCAAGGAGAGGCGCCCTCCTGAAAGCCTCCTATATCCTTCCTTGTCAGATGTAGAGAATGAAACTAATTCAGATCCTGACTCAGAGTCAGAGAAAAAGCAATTGCTCGCTGAGATCGCGGCTCTTAAAAACGAATTGAGAAAGGCCAGAATCACAGATCAGACAGAAAGGGCAAAGAGTCCCCCTCCATACCTGGAGAAGGGCTTTGGCCATTTTTAATGAGGGTGGCTGCTGCGCCGCAAGCCCCCCATACCCATTACATGGATTTCTGATGGGCCAGTGTGGGTGGAACAGTGGCTCTTACCAGCGGAAAAACTTCAGGTGGTTCATCAACTAGTTCAAGAACAATTGGAGGCAGGTCATATGATCCCTTGCACCTCCCCTGGAATTCCCCTATATTTGTGATTAAAAAGGCTTTAGGAAAATGGAGATTGCTCCAGGATTTGAAGGCCATTAATGCAACAATGCAGCCTATAGGAGCCCTTCAGCCTGCCTTTGGCTATCCCTAGAGATTGGCATCTAATTGTTATTGATTTAAAAGATTGCTTCTTTTCCATTCCACTGCATTCCTGAGATAGCTACCAGGTTTCCATTTAGCCTTCCTTCTATTAATTTTCAGGAACCCACCCTTCACTTTCAATGGGTGGTGCTCCCCCAGGGGATGGCTAATAGTCCTACAATATGCCAGGCTTATGTGGTTGCCTGACTGGATCCTATCAGGCACAAGTTTTCTGATCTTTACATTATCCATTATATGGATGATATTCTGCTGGCAGCACCTGCCGAGGAGAGATGTCTTGAGGTGTTTGCTAAATTGCAGGAGCTCCTGGAGGCCTGCGGATTTATTTTGGCCCCAAAGAAGATTCAAAAGAAACCTCCTTACACCTATCTGGACCATCAGATCCAACAGACTGGCCTCCGATCTCAAAGACTCCAAATTGATTTTTCAAATTTTAAAAACTCTTCATGACTGGCAAAAGTTTTTGGGAGATGTTCAATGGATCCGCCCCTCCCTTTCCATTAAAACAGGAGAGCTTAGACCCCCTTATGATATTCTTCTGGGGGATCCAGCTCCAACCTCT